GTTTCCAATTCTGGACGTCCACTTTTCCATGGCACACATAATTCATATCTTTTGTCTTCGTTTCTTTTAATAGTTTTACGGAAAAAATCTACTGTTTCTTCATCGGTTACCTGCCTTGACTTTACTTCTGCAGAACATCTTATACCGATGACACCTAGACTCCGTAATTCCGTCAGATTTAAATTTTTAGCATATACAATACTCTCCAAAGTTTTGAGTAGTTTCTTTGTTTACCTTGAAGCGTCCATCCAAGTTTTGTTTTAACAGCTACCAAATTGTTATCAATGGGCTCAATTCTCCCAGTCAGTAATGCGCCAAGATAATCTGCTCCTATTAATAAACCTATTTCAGGTGCATATTCTCCTGTATCACTTAAACGCATATTTTTCTTTTTCAAAATTGAATAAATATCAGGATCTTCTTACACGTGGAATTGCACCACATATCTTCTTTTCATCCAAAACTGAACTAGTGTACTTGAAAGTTGAACACAAGCTTTGTAATGTAATATTGTAGACATTTTGGGATTCTTGTTAAGTTTCACTGACCCCAAAAAGTCCGTGACTCATCATTTCTTGATCTACAGGTTTCAATCCTAGTTTCTCCGCAATATCTTTTCGTATGAAAGATCTCTGAGCACCAGTATCAAATAATCCGCGAACGATTCTGGACCTGTCATCATTGATTAATACAGTTACATTGGAGAATTTTTTGGTGACAAAAGAACCTGTGCATCCGATTCAGATTGTTTGTCTTGTTTCGATTGATTTATATTTGGACACAAAATGCTATGGTGTTTTTTCTGTTATGTTATATTTGGACACATAATGCTATGGTGTAACACTTTAAATAAGCTTTGCAGATCCTAGAATTCTGTCCTGGTTTCTAACAGACGAAATAAGCCCCCCTTTTCGCCTCCAGTGAGTGACATCTCGGCAGCCTTAAAGCATTCTGTGGTATTATGAAACGACTTGTTACAAAATAAACAATGCTTGCCATTTTTCTCAGCTCTTTGCTTTTTATTAGATACAATATGAACTGCAGTGGGAACTTTTTCTTTCGTTTTAAATTTTTCAAATTGATCATTCGCAAACCCTGATCGAGCAAGTTGTAACCGCTCTTCACTTTCGACTTCCAAACGAAGAAATTCTACTAAATTTCCTAACATGTTCATCTTGTCTTTATTTTCTATATGGTTATGTGTGCGTTTCCACTCCTTGATAAGAACTTCTGGTACAGCTGATTCTACTATAGGATATAACATTGCTTCATTTTTTTCAGACGTTACGCCTAAAGTCTCGGTGCTACTTTGGTAGTTTGGTAGACGATTGCACGGATTTTTGGCGATTTACGTTGGCGCAATTGTTGGCGCGGTTTTTACAATCGTCAGCCATCTTGAAAAACGCTGTTTTTACGCATAGTAAAGTATTCGAAACTTTAAAAAAAAAAAAAAAAAAAAAAAAAAAAAAAAAAAAAGAAAAGAAAGAAAGAAAGAAATATCGTTAAAAGTAATGGATTAATTTTTTGTTGAATGTCGTTTTTTAAGATGGCAGGCAAGTGTAAATAAATACATTTACTATGAGTATAAAATACTAAAGTAAGGTTATTATTACTTTCATATAGCAAAGAAGAGAATATAAAAACACTGTGCGAACGTTTAATTAGATTAAAATATTACTTAAATTGAATATCGAATTAAAAACATTATACCAACATTTAAAAGAATTAAAATATTATTTAAATTCAAATACTTTAAAGTACGTTATATAGAATATAATTAACATTAAAACATATGTGACAATAATTATCTCAGCAATTTTTGAAAGTAGTGTATTAATTTTTTTTAACAAAAAATTGAAGTATACGATTGTAAAATAAAAAAAAAATATGTACTTACATTTTTTTGAGTCTTTTAACCTGTCGTTTATTGATAAGTACCACAAAAAAAATCGGAATCATAATTTAGATATCAATGAAAAAAATTTGAAAAAGTAATATCAAAGGCAGGAATACAAAAGTTAAAAACAAACAAAAAAAATTATAAATAGATAAGCAATTTAGAGCCAAATTAATGGATCATGAAGATTAAAAATAACAAAAAATTTGAAAAAAAAATCCAATAATAGGTATTGTTTTTAAGATTTCGAAGATCCTTTAACCGCCCCTCCCTGAAGTACATGCCAATCATCCCAGTTTATGTCTCGAATAATTTCGAGAAATTTAACATATGGATGCTCATTCAATGCAGAGCAAATTTTCCTAAACAAATACCAGGCTATGTATCCTTCAAAATCTCCTCGACGATTGTAAACCGGCAAAGAATTTTTGAAGTCACGCCATTGTCTTTCAACTGTGTTAGTATGAGCTCCGGTTTCAGGATCTACGAAATGGAGCGAATGGTTTAACTTGCAAGTGATTGAAACCTTCGCTCAAGCGGTCATAAGCTTTTCAGCAGTCCGAAATAATCTGGGTTCCCGGTTCGATCCAATCCTTAATTAAAGCGAGAAGAGTATCCGCTGTTCTGTCTGGCACAGCAACCTGACTCGCGGTCTATTCCCCCCCAAAACCCACTGCCCTACAACGAATCGACCTTTGTTAAACTTTCTTTTCCCGATTTTGGACTCATCAATCACCACAATTTTCCCTGGCCCTCCGATCTTCTCCGTTTTAGTTTCTACAAAATTAATTAAAACGTCGGTTACATAACTGCGCCAGTCGGCTACAGCTTCTGAAAAAATACCGAGCTCACATTGAATTCTATCGTACGAAGAACCCATGAATATTTCGTACACTAGAGCTAAAATGACAGCAATTGGAAGTTTACTGCCGGTAAAAAAGGAGGAATGTCTAATACTTTTTTTTTTGCCGTTACAGCGATTATTTCTTTCACCGTAATCACAATACCATATACGCCCGTCCTCAGAATCCGCTCTTTTAACCATCTTCATCTGTGATCCCCATTTCTCGCACTTCATTGAAGAAGCAATTAGTGAGGTTTTCTCCAAAAATTTAAATAAATTTTCTCTGACCCTTGTAACAATTTATAAATAAATCTTTGATTAGGAAAGCCAGGCTGGCCAAAATAAGGTCTCAAAGGACAATTTTTTGATTCCGATACCAATAATTCTTGGTACTTAACCAATAACAACATTCATCTTTGAAACAGACATCTTTGAAGGAATTCGAAGATATGAATTAAATTTTAAAATGGGCGGTAATGCACAAATTTTCAGTAACCAATCAGGGAGCTGATTACAGCTCGTTAATGCACAAATATTCTATAACCAATCAGAGAGCTTATTACATCACGCCTAGAATTAAATTTATTTAAATAATCGTATATAATAAAATCATTTTTTTAAAAAATGCAAAATTAAATTGTATTTTAATATTTAACAGCCATAAATAATGTTTAAAACATTAGATTAAATTTATAGATATTAAAACCAATTACTTTTAAAGTAAGGTGACGTCATTGATTACATCATCCACAACATAAAATTTCATAAAATATCATAAACAATAAAATTTTTATTTCAAATAAAAATGCAAAATTAAATTGATTTTTAATATTTAGAAGCCATAAATAATATTTAAAACACGGAATTTATGCATAATAAAACGCATTATTTTTAAATAAAATGACAACAAAGTATCGGTTACCATAAATAACTTATACAGCAATGGGTTTACCATAAGTCGTATTACTCGCCAAAAGAAAAATCGCCAAAAAATTGCCAAAATCCGACGAACTGTCTACCAAAGTATCACCAAAGTCTCTAATGCTCGCAGCTGAATCTCCAATTTAATCATAAAGAACCCGCAAAGTAAAATTTTGCTCCTTTTCGCTTGCGTTAAAACTAGATTTAAAATTTCGCGAACATAAATTTGAATTAATAGTTCATCTTTAGCAAAACGAGATTTAAGTTGTTCAATAGCATTATAATAGTTTTCGCCAAATGGTGGAAAACTTGCAACTAAATCTCTGGCCGATGAACTTTCTTCAGTTGCTTGTAAAAGATATTGAAATTTGTCATCTGCATCAATGCTATCATCATCATGAATTTTTTAAAATTGTCCCCTGAATCGTAGCCTGTTTTTAATATTACCATCAAAACGTTTCTATTCTAACTTAGGAAGACGAAAATTTTGCTTAGTTTCATTTACTACACTGGAATTATCGCCCTTTCTTTCAGTGGTTGATAACATTAAATCAACTTTCGTTTCCATAGCAACCCACTGATTTCGATAGCTTTCCGTTAAATCCATATCCTTGGAAAATTCATCTTCATTAAAGTTTCCCATTTCTAGCCACGTTACTGTAACTTTTTCATCTAATTGAAATAATCTGTCAGCTTTATCATTAAAAATATTAAATACAGATATCAAATCAATCTTACTTATTGCTTTATCTTTTAGAACTTTTAAATTATCTTTTAAATTATCTCTTAGAACAGTTTCCACTTCTTTTAAAGAAGTTGTGAAATATTGCCGTAATTGTTGTCTTTCCCGTTTTAAATTATCCGTAGTCCTGTTGCGGATGCCAGTTATTTTAAAGGATTCGAAAATAACTATGGATTTAATATGAAAAAACACTAATTGCAGATATTTACAAAATTTAGAAGCAGTTATACTTGTAACTAACGATAGAGCTTATTTTTTTTACTCTGGTTAAGCATAAAACTTAATTACTTTTAAAGAGAGAAGAGTCTTTTAAAGAGTCTTTTAAAGAGACTTACAGAGTTGAAATGTAGCTGGTATTACTCAAAAAATAATTCCTAACTTTGCGCAGTACTAGCTCTCCGCCAAACTTAGAACTACTCGAAATTATGGTAAAGCATAGTAATTTTGGGCTTTGACCACGTTAGATTCTCAGTTTTGGAAGCCATTTCGCGATAGAGCTATTTTCGGGCTTTGGCTGTAATATATATAAAAAAAAGTCGCAATAAAATATCAGTTATCAATTATAAAATATTTAAAATATTAAGTAGAAAAATTACCTTCGTGTGTCCAGTTTGGATTCATCGTTGTTGCAGAGTTGAATGTAGAATAATGGAGGGAAAATGAATGTCAGGAGTGTCATGGTTGATCCACCAATAAGATTCATTATTTTGTCAAAATGGGGAATAGTATAAGATATTAACAAAACAAGTCCTACTATCAGACTTCGAATAATGCATCGCTTGTAATTAAAATCTGGAAGAAAAAGTGATGTGCTTTTGGATATATATATATAAATCTAAATATGTATAAATAAGATAAAAAATATGTAAATCTGAATAATATGTAAATCTCAAAATTATAATTTAAACTAGCAGTAGTCCATAATTCTTCCTCTCTATTCTAAAAATACTAATAACTTTTCTGGATTCAGTCTATGTCACGTGGCTTACATAACGTTGGTGACGTAGCTCATAGGCCTGGGAAGCAGCTTTTATGGACAAAATGAGATTAAATCCTGATTTAACTTCTAAAGAATGGTCTAAGTCTATAAACAAAGTAAATGAAACAGCAAACAAAAATGATATACGTTATTTAAAAAATAGAGATACTAAGACTAAAAATGATATATGTGATAAAATTATGATAGAACATGTGATAAAATATGATAGACGCTAATCCGAATCCCGGGCGAAGGATAGAAAGAAGAATCACTAGACCTATTATATAAACAAAAAATCTGATGTGTACACCACATGACTTCCTTGTACGGAATAATAAATTATACTCATTTTTTCTTGCTTTTCATTTAAACTTATTTTATTGAATTAAATCTACTTCGCCGCAAACGCATAAACCACAATAGAATAAATGCATTCTTTAAAATTCACTCTAGTATTTGTTAATCATGGCAACACTCTGGTGCTAGATTCACTTAACAGTATTATATTTCGTTCATATTATAACTCATAATGCACAAAATTTATACTATCTAATTGTTGCCACATGTTCTATTCAAATACTATAATAAAGCTAGAATGATGTATAAAAGAAATTAAGCAAACAAAACAAAAAAGAAACAGTTTTTCACAGAAAATTGAGTATTTCTCATTCAATTAATTCAGTTCTCACTTCGCGAGAAGGCAAAAATACATAAAAACTCAAAATATCTCTATTAAAAATTACGAAGTAAACCTTAAACACTTATTTGCTCGAAAAAATTCCAGAAAGGATTAAGCATGATTTAATTGCCAATAATAAATGAAGGCGTTATCTTTGTTGTTGCGAAGATAAGTTTCTCTAGATTGGCAACAAATCCACTAGTCTGATGTTTCAAATGTAAACAATCAATGGCCGCCATCAAAAAAGGCTTAGCGGCACTTAAAGAACTTTAAAATTGTTGATAATTCTAAAAATATTGCATACAGATTTACTAAAGGCATAAAAACCGTAACCGGAAGATAAAAACAACATAATTCAATCATTTTTAAAGCAAAAAATGTACAATTTACAAACATTATAAGAGTAAAGAAACTGAGATCACTGAGCCGGGTAACAAGACTGGATATATATATAAAATATTTATATACGTTTGGTGCGGCCGATTGCAACCAAAATACGAGGTTGCACATCTATTTACATGTTATAGCCAGTCCTATATACAAAATTTAAACGTTCTGAGGCTACTCGTTTTTGAGTTATGCGAGATACGTACGTACGTACAGTATATACGTTCGTACAGACGCCACGAAAATTCTTTCAGAATTCATTTTAAAGCAGTTTTATAATTTTTTTTTGGCCAAGGAAAAAAAAAAAAAAGTGTAGTCCTTTATTCTGTCCTTACGTACAGATATCACGCAAAAACATCGTTAAATTGCATTCGATAGCGGTCAAAATGGATATTTTCGTTGAAATATGCTGCCTGAAACTTTTCGCGATTACAATACTTCCTTTTTACTTCGTACAAGGAAGTAACAAGGAAGTAAAAAGACATTTGAAATGGGATATTGTTTGAAATGCAAGGCGTGAAAGAACTCCAGATAAAAACCAAAATACTTCAAAAAATATTGAAACCTTTTAACATCAACAAGATACATATACAAAATGTAAATCACTCATTAGAAATTTTAGAAAGCGAAGAATATATGTTCTTAGCATTGGCGATCAGAGGCAAGCAATTTATGTTATTTTTAAAGGCATTTAATAGATATAACGGAGGAGACAAATTATTTATTAACCGTAATTGATAGTTTTAGGACATATGCATGGGCTATTTCCATAAATAGAAAAACAGGAGAAGTCACGAACGTGTTTTAAAATATTTTTAACGAACGGATTCTCGGAGGATTCAAACCGAAGGCTCAGAGTTTATCAATAAAGATACTCAGCAGTTCTTTAAAGATATATTAATTGGTTTATTACAGAAAGCGTTGAAGTCAAATGTGCCATAGTTGAAAGATTTAATTAGTCTGTAAATTAAATTATTAGAAAATATTTAGATGAAGTGGATTTAAAAGGTATATAGACGTGTTAGAGGAATTAGTTAAAAATAATAGTGGTTCATATCATCAATTGGTAAAAATAACACCCGTACATGTATCTGATAAGGTAACGAAACTGTAGTTCGTAAGAACATGTAATAAGCCTAGAGAAATTAAAAAAAACCTAAATTCAGAATCGATAATACCATTCGAATATCCAAATTTAAATTTGCTTTTACTAGCGGTTATAATCCTACATTTAATGAAGAGAGTTTTATCATTTCCCGAGTTTTAAACTATGATCTTCCTATAGTCTATAAGATTTAAGAAACGAGAAAATTAAAGGAACATTTTATGAAAAAAATTTAGTTAAGATAAAAACGATGAAATTTATAAAACGTAGTAAATAAGAAGAGAAAAGGAAATAAAATCTTTGGCTAATCTTTGGAATATGGTAACAGGTAGTTTGGCGACATTTTAGTAAGGCGATAAAGGTTACTAGCTAGGACTTTAGCAGTGTACATGGATAAAATCAAGAGTGTGCGCAATGCCATTTTTGTGCAATTCTGAGGATGCTTATTTTAAGTGAAAATAGGGTCGTCGACGTGTACATGGATACCGTGTATGCGCAATTCTTAAAAACGCGGCAAGCAGTGGGCCGATTCTGCACTTTCTCCCAATTTCGCACCTAATCTTCGTCATGATTAAGCACTTTTGTTAAATAAAAGTTCTAGCATAAGCGTAATTCGGCTAGCAGATTGTTGTAAAAAAATGTTGAGGGGGAAAAAAAATGCCTGTACTTCGTAAAAACAAAAGGGCGTCCCCCCAAAAAAATAAACTAGCAGGTTGCTGTAGCACGGTTGGTCGCCAAATTTTCGCCAAAAAATCGCGAAGTTACCATAATCCAAAGATTAACCAAATCTTTGTTAAATTATTGGGATATCTGAAAAGTTTCATCAACTGGATTGATGAAAAAAATATTTTAGAGTTCTGCACTTTTTAAAAATAATAAAAGTATTTTACAAAATGTAAAATAATTTTTTATTATATTTAAGTATTTAAATTGTTTATTAAAAATTATTTATATTTTTATCTTCATCCATTTTTATAAGTTTGTGCTTCTCATTTTTTTAAAAATCATGATGTTCTCTTTTTCTTTTCTTTCTTTCTTTTTTCTTTAAATTTACGGACATTTTTAATATTTCATTTTTAAAGATTTTTTTACTTACAAAATTTGAATCTCTTTCAAAGTGTCATCGTGCGATTATTAATGTACTTCTTCCTTGTACGAATTGAAGGAAGTATTGTACTCGCAAAAGATTTCAGGTATCATATTTGAACGAAAATATCCATTTTGACCTCTCCCGAATCCATTTGCACGATTTTCTCGCGTGACATTTGTACATATGGACATGATAAAGGGCTATTTTTTTAAACAGATTGTCAGTAAAATGGATTCAGAAGAAATTTTTTTTCGTGACGTCTGTTCGTATCTATGCATATATCTTGCATAACTCGAAAACGATTAGCTGTAGAACGTTAAAATTTTGTATATGACACTGCTTTAACATGTAGTTGCACACATACCTTATCGTCGCAATCGGCTGCACCAAACATATATATATATACTATATATATACTCACCTTCTGTCGTACCCGGTTGGATAAACTCTGTGTGTTTATTCTTATATGTGGTAAATAGTACAGTTTCTGCTTTAAAAGTGAATGAAGTATGTTATTCTTATTTTCTCGTTAAAGGTTTATGCCTTTAGGTAATCTGCAGCAATAGCTGTAGAATTATCAACAATTTAAAAGTCTAAGTCGCGGCTAGGCCTAACGTGGCGGCTGTTTGTTTACATTTTAAACTCCTTGTAGTACAGTTTATTCAGTTGGTGTACCAGCGTCAGTGTCTTTTTGCTCAGTGGGACCAAAAGTTAAGTTTAAATTTCTGTGCACCGAAAAGTCGATGTCTTTCTACCCGTTGGTGAATTGCTTGTTTTGGCACCGAAATTCTTAAGTTTAATTGGAAAAAAATAATAAAAAATATAAAAAACTAACTGCTTTTAACTGTATTTGGTTTTTAGGTTTTTCTGTATTTTACAACTTTTAATGAAGATGTTTTGAGTTTTTATGTATTTTTGCGTTGCCGCGAACTGAGAACTGAATTGAATGAGAAATATATCTCCAATGAAATTCGGGAGAATATGTATACTGCAGCAAAAATGTATATAATTTAATAGGCTGTATAAGAAAGTCTTGTGCTACATCAGATTTTTTAATATAGAGCTTGTTCTCATTATTTTTATTAGAAAAATTTTAATCTTCAATTTGAAAGTTTGAGCCTGTAAATAAAAGAAGAATCTGAATATTAAAAAATTTGCTAATTTTAGATATATCTTATTTAATTCTTTGTTTGTTTTATATCTTTTAATAGCAGAAAAATAGCATTACCTTTTTGTTACCCTCAAGTTGTCCTCGCACGTTTATTTATTAGCTGCTTATGTATTAGCGTTTTATATTGAGTCAAATGTTAAGCGAAATTTCATTTTTATAGCTACAGCTGAAAATTAATGATATATTATAAATGATGAAATTAGTCTATTGTAAATTAATTTCTCTATTATTATTATTTTAAAAGGTTTAAGAAATGCATTTTTTAGGATATTAATAAAGCAATAATCCAGTCAAAATACGAGATATAGAACTTACTTGGTTCAACTCCTAATGCATCTTCAGTCTCTTGAGCCACGGGATTGATGACAATTAAAAACGCCAGCAAAATATGTGCAGCCAAACATGCTTCAATAAAAGATCTTAAATATCCTACTTCTATAGATAGGAGGATATTAGGTGCGACACTGGATCCGAGTACAGCATATCCCGCTGTTGTAACGGGCATGTACAGAAGTAAGAGACCTATAAAAATATGTAGATTATGGAAATGTAGAGTAAATATTATTGAATATATGTTATTTACTCGATTGTCTATTGTTATCTAGTCTATTGTTATCTAGAGTTAAACGAGTCTCTCCGATGCTGATTCAAAGAACCGATTGATTTCACTTTACTGAGCGAATGAACAGTGATTCCACAAAAAGGGAGTGGTCGCTCTTTTATAGTTTATCTAGAGTTGTTTTTGGAAGCGTGCCAGAAAAAAAGATGTGCTATTCGCTTACGAACTGATTTTCTTTACTGAGCGAACTCCTGATTTGGGAAAAAAAGCGGAATTCGTTTAGAGTTCACTCAGAGAAAGCTCTTCTTGGGAAACGCGCTAGGAAAGTTCGATTTCCATTTTAGAGAAGAAAAGAATGTTTATTCCCCCATGTTAAAATTGAATTTAATTTTTATCATTTTTCAACTTTTTGAAATTTGTTTTATTCCAGAATTTTATTGTTAGTTCAGTGTAGCAATGAGACTTTAGGGGATTTCAAAATTACAGTTGAAAGAGGTCATTACAACAAATTAACTCTTAATCGAGTGGATTCTTTCGATTCCACTGCACGTTCCATTCTTTTCGCTCTCCGCTCCAACCTTGCTAACAGTTTCTTACCTCACAGTTCGATCGATTCTTTGCGCTTTTCACTCCGTTCTCCCAAACCGCTCTTGATTCACTCCTCGTTCCCGATGTTTTTCGCGAAAGTTATTATTAATGCGCTGGACGTCGCAAAAAAAAAAAAAAAAAAAAAAAAAAAAAAAAAAAACAACTTCACTTCGGTTTTGTGAAACTTTGATCTAAGTAAGGCAGGTTAGGTTCTGTAAGGAAGTTATAAATTCTGTTTCTGTGTTTTTCCTTTAAATTTTTTTTAAAAAAAGTTTAAAGTTTGAGATGTGTCTTTTACAGAATATAAAGCAGGGCAATATTGTAAAAGTTGCGGGATTGGTTACATGAAGCGCATACTCAGAATATTAAAATACTATTGAGGTCGTCAGAATGACACATCAGAAGACATTGCGGAATAGTGCGACACTACTTAAATTCATATGTAAGTAAATTTATATGGCGTCGAATTTATAAAGAAAGTGAGAGCTTTTTTGTTATTTTATACTCCATTGGGGATTTTTGACCGCCGGAATGATTCGCGCTAGTTTTAATGAATTTATTTGTCAGATAATCTCACAACTTGAGCTCGCTGTTAAATAATCAACATAAAAAATCATAAATGTTTAAGATTAAATATGCCATATTCGTAACTTGTATTTGTTGATTATTTAATTAAATAAAGAATGTAAAGGACAATCTGTTTTTTAAAACTTTCTTCGGAATCGTTGGCGAAGTTTTGATAGGAACTCCGCCAACTTTCACGCTTGATGGAACTTTTACGCTTCATCGGAAAATATGTAAGTGCCATTAATTTAGTGATCTATGAAGCTTATGAAAGCTTCATAGATCACTAAATATTGTGGGCAATGTAAATACAAAAGGGTGCAAATTAAGACGATAATCTTTCTCCCCATTTTCCATTAACTTCAGTTCTAAAACTATTATTAGTAGGTGAAACAAGAAATATTGTTTTCAGATTGATATGATACAACAATGTTTAAAATTAATAAAAAAAAAAAACTCACCTGCAAATCCAATAAGCGTGGCCTTATTAAACTGTTGCCTGTTTGCCATATCATTCTGAATAGTTGGAAAGAAGAATACTCCCCCGAACGAAAAGAGAATGGTCCCAAATGCCAGAGAAAATGATGAAAAATTCGGGTTATCAAATTTCACATTTTTGGCATTAGGAATTTCTAGTATTACACTTGCTAGTAAGGAATAACAGGCTAGTGCTGCAGTTACTAAAGCTCCAATAGCAGCAAACCTAAGTTTTAGAACAAAAGAGGAAAACAACTCTTAAAAATCTGGATGAAGATTGATCTAAGCAAAATATAGAAATACCTATTATTAGGCTATTATAGGGCTTTGTCCCTGAGGGACTATTGTTTTCGTTTTGCGATTTTGCTTCGAATTACTCTGAATGTCCGTTTCACTTTTCAAACTCTTGCCGCCAAATATTATCGCCCTGTATTATATTTGAAGAAATTAAATAATGAAGAATCTGTATAAAATGTATGTATGTTTCGCATTGTGATAAAACAATCTTCCACCCAATATGGGCATCTGGAAACCCTTAATTTGGAATTTGTTTTATTATCAGTTTCATATTTTGTAAAATTTTAACGAATTTTTGATTAACAAACTCAAGAATTTCTAAACGAGCAGTGGTAACGTTGTACAGAAAAAATTTTTTTATCTCCAGCCGTGAAACTGTGTATCGGAAATTCTAAAGATATGCTCAATTAAAAATTATTTTGCGGTATTGCTTTTGTACTGAATTTTATGCTAATTCAGAAGTCAAACAACAAAAATCAGCGTTATATTTTCAAATTGTCACAGGACTAGTTTCGATGATTTTACTGAATCACCATCCTCAGCTGCAAAAGCGCAAAAAGCAGCTTTTGCGCCCTGCAAAAGCATAATCAAACGCTTAAATATTTTTGGAATTTGAGGAAACGTTTATCAGACGCATTTTCGTTTTATTATCCGTTTTAAGTAAAAGGAATTCATAGTTATGAGTTCATTTTACTAAATAAGGGATAATTTACCATTAATTTTATTGATGCATGAATACATTTACAAAAATATTTGTAAGGAATCTTAAAGTATCTCTCCTAAGGAAGCTTTTAGCGACTTGCAAGACTGCTTAATAAGAAAAATTGGGACAACAAGTATTTCAAAAAGAAAATTTTCTTAGCCATTTATTTGGGGGTTGCAAACTGAAAATTGCAGATCGTAGTCTAACACCTCCAAGAAGACATTTGCCATTACAACTTTTGAAAAATTAAACATGTATAAAATTCAGAATAAGTTATAAAATATGATGATTTCATTAAAGCGGGCCTATTGCTGCTGGAATTCATGTAAGTAATTAACAAAATTAAAATAAAATTCAGTGTGTATAGAAAACAAGTAAAATGAAATTTTACTTAGTAACAAAATAGAAAATAAAACTCTTAATAATGCAGGAAATAACAACGGATTTTGATATGCTTTTTTAGACGTTATAAGGGAGCGACCGGTAAAAGCAATCAAAAATCTAAACCGCGTTTCTAATTTTGGTCCTAACAGAAATATTCTTTAATAACTTAATTTTAATGAAAGTAAAGTTTACACTGCATTTTTTTTAGTCCAAAGGGAACTTGACCTGAAGGACTATTAATTTCGTTTTGGCATTTTGCGTTGAAAACTATAAACGGCGAATCGCATTTCAAATTGTTGCCACCAAATATTATTGCTCTGTATTATATTTAAAGAAATTAAATGATGAAGAATCTGCATAAATGTATATATTGTTGCGTTATTTTTTCTGACACCAGTTCGTACGGGGTTCGTAGATTTGGAGTGAATAACGACGACACTTTATGAAGTATCGAAACACACTTTATTTAGACAATATTAATCAGGACAGCTCCAAAATCACATTTACAGTCGTCGAACTGTTATAAACACGCTGACACGTTCAGCGACACAGCCTTCACTGTCAGGCAATAGCGATGGAGACAGCTTCCTGCAAAGCACCAGAGTACAGCTCCCGACTCTGCTTGGTCGTTCCCGGAACTCCACGTACTCTCGAGACTCTCCACGCTACAACTCGCGATGCACTCGACGACACGAAGAGAACAGCTCCTGACTCTTCGATTCAGTCGTTCCCGGAGCTCAACACGCTCTCTCGACGATGCAGTAACCGCGATACACTACGAGACTTTTTCGGTGCACTCGACGATCCACTCGGCACTCGCTGCCCATCTGTCAACTCGATCGACTCCGCAAGGACTGAGTTGCTAGACGAGACACCAACTCTATACTGACTATCTGACACTCTAGACGAGGCACACCAACTGACCGCGGACCAGCAAGCATATAGCTTTCGGCTTGTGTTCGAGAACATTTTGGGCTAAACCGGTAAGAACTCGTTCCAGAAGGTTCTCCATATGTTCATGGTATATCGCCAATTTCGTCGCCAAATGGGCGATTTCTCGCCAAATGTGGCAACCTTTTCTTATATTGTCATTTTATGGCAACCCTAAACTTGCTTTGCGGGGAAGCTACTTACCGCGTCTGTATATTTCGTAACAATATGTTTCTTGCATAGGAAAACGTTGCCGATGCAACTGCACTGCCGATTATTCCTTGCTCTCACATTCACGTAAGTAAAACGAACCATCTCACAATAATTATTTTTTGAAAATCACTCCATGACATCACAGCGAAATGTGCTGTTGAACTGTTCAGTCGTCTCATCCCTTTTGCAGACATCTGTTGTGTTGTGAAACAGAAGATCCGAAAAAAATGGCAGTAACTTTGGGATGTTCAGCTTCAAAATAAATTAAGACGTGTAAAGCCTAGAATTGACAATTGGGAATTAACCAAAAATCGTAAGGAGGAAGTTCTTTTGACTCGCTTCAGAATTGGCCACACTAGAGTGACACATAACTACCTTTTAAAAGCTGAGAATGAGCCTGTTTGTTCAAATTGTAATGTTTGTCTATCTGTCCGTCATCCCCCCGGGGGTCGACGTAGAGAACTCTGCGAAGCTACTGGCTAAGATCTGTACCTAGGCAGTCTCGGCCACGGGGGTATAAAATTTATGAACTTGGTGGTTCTGAAGGCTCTGGGAAAGGTCACTTATCGGCCGGCCCCGGAGTCTGGCACGTCCTAGCGCGGCGTGGTTCTAGTAACCCGGGGGTCTCCCCCGGGGTCGCTGGGTAATGTCCCGCTGCGACGGGCTCGCCCAAGCGACTGGTAGGAGCATTAGACGACCGGTGGTGCCTGGGGTTTATCTCCAGGTGGTGCGCTGCTCTCCTGGAAGGTAAAAGTGGAGGTTGAACCTCCACGATGTGCCCAAAGGGGGAGTAGACCTGTAGTGGGCTTAAGTTCCCGGAGCAGGGAAGCCAAAATCCTCTATCTGTCCGTCATATTTTAATTGAGTGTCCATGTTTTAATAGTCTTCGTCTGAAATATTTTAATAGCTGTGACTTACCTCTCGACAGTTTAATCGGAAGAGAGGTCAATTGTAATTTATTTTATTATTTAAAAGAGACGGGCTTTTATTACTAAATGTAATTTGTTTTGAAGACTGTGTCTTGAATTTTAATATGTGCTTTTAACTTGTTTTATATGACTTCATCCTCTGGATTTGGTACATTTATCTACTTGTTTTTATTATTGAATTTTAATTTCATCATTTGTAATCATCCCATCTCGTGTTTGGCGCGCTATAATCATCTTTGGTTTTGCGCCATAATCTCTCACTCACTCACTCACTCACTCACTCCATGACAATGAGCTTCAACATACAACCACGAGGAGTTATCTCTTTTATAGCTGTCTCAGGTAAACAAGCATGACGTTTCATGCCCCAACTTCAGCGTCTTTTTGACGAGTAAGACCAAAAGTTTTGTGCAACGAAAAACCTGTCGTGTCTGTCTAAGTTTAATTAATTTAAACTCTAATTTGAACTGTAAAAATTTGTTTAACGGTTTTTAACTCTATTTGGTGTTTTAGGTTTTTCTGTATTTTTTAATTTTTAATGAAGATGTTTTGAGTTTTTATGTATTTTTCCCTTGCCTCGAAATGAGAACTGAACTGACTGAATGAGAAATATATTTCTAATGAAATAGGTTTAAATGAAATGCAGCGAAAAATGTGTATAATTTAATAGGCCGTACAAGGAAATCATGCGCTGTCCACATCAGATTTTTTTTTTTTTATCAGAACTGAAACTTTTTTAAACTATTTGTTCTGAAGTTCAACATCCAATAGTTTCTTTTATTATTCGTTAAACGAATTTTGGTAACTTTCCTTGCTCAGTTTTTCTATCTGTATGGAAATACTTTACTTTTTCATTGTTAAATGTATACTATGAGCTAATGGCCATATTTAAAGGTAAATACAAGAAGTTTTTGTAAGACCATGTGATAACTAAGTGAAATCTTTCTCTTTCGCTGTCGTTTTTTGGCAACGAATCTTGTAACGCGCATGCGCCAATATAATAAACGCCCAGAAGGGCATTAATCCAGTCTCGAAACGGCATTTGGCGTCGAAGCACTTTAAATGTCTGAATCACTTTTCAAGTTGTTGCCACCAAATATTATCGCCCTGTGTTATATATGAAGAAATTAAATAGTGAAGAATCTTCATGAATGTACGTTTATTTCTCTCATTGTGGAAAAACAACGATGCTTAGAGCCATCAAATTTTGAATAACGTAGTACTCCACCTTCATATGGGCATCTGGAAGCTCAAATTTGGAATTTGTTTTATTGTTTGTTTCATAGTTTAAAACGAATTTGTGATTAAGAAACTCAACGAGCAGTGGCAACTTAGTGTGCGGAATAAAATATTTCTTATCTCCAGCGCACGAGACTGTCTATCGGAAATTCTAAAGATATGCTGTTTTTAAATATTTTTATCGCAAAGGGACGTTAGCCCAAATGCTCTTAATATATAAAATCTTAAATCTTTCAGATTTTTTTTTCTTTGATACAAGTGGTTTGATAGAATGATATTCGTTTTGCTTTTAAATGGCTGAGATTAGATTAAGAATAAATGAAAGATAATTTCAAAAAAAGTTAGTTTCGTTATTTCGTAGTTACAGCCCAGAACATGTATTTAAGTTGTGAAAAAATGCGTGTGAATTATCCGTGCTGTAATAGTATAATCATCTCTTCTCTACATATGATAAAAGAAAGTGTGTATCTTTCGTCCGTGCATTTGCGCGTAAGCTAATAAACCCAGGGCTACGAAATTTGGTATATAGGTGCATTTAGACAAGAGCCAGTGCACCTCGAAGCGATTTTTTTCAAAATTCGAATCAGATTTTATCTTTTCGATTTTATCGCATCGTTTTGAATAGTTTCATTCTTTTAGAAATGTGGTTTTGGCAATATTTTTTGATTCAGTTGTATACTGGACTGCTGATTGTTTAAAATCAGCACTGTTGCCACTTGGAAAATGAGGGCGATAATTCTGTGCAGATTTTAAATTTAATGTTTCTCTTGGTACTGGACGTTTGTTGAGATAAGGCAAGAAGTTGCTTAATTTATTTATTAGGATAATTAATATTTGTATTAAGGGATGTTTCTTAATTCATTGTAATTTTTTTATATGTAATAAACTTTTTTTTTTTTAATTTGTGGGTGTTTTTTATGAAGTTGTTCTGCAGAGTAAAATTCTGCGCAGTTTTTAAATTTAACTTTTGGTGTACCCTTCAGGCATTTTTCAAGTATATTTAAAACCAGACGAAGGCTGGCTCCTTAGTTGCTAGTATATTATAAATCATTAAGGAATTCAAATTTGCTTTACATGAGTCAAACAAGGTACTAGATCTACACTGGTGTGCAAAAATTAAGGACGAGACGCTTTTTCAATATAACTTTGTACAAAAGCTTTCCAAATCAACACATTTAATACCGTAAGATCCCCAATACGTAAGGACATGAGTAATGTAAGCAACACTTACTAAAAGAGAAAGCAACACTTACTAAAAGAGCGCAATGCGACTGAAGGAAGAAACATTCCTGTGATGGGTATCCAGCAAGATACATTCGGTCTTTAATAGGGGATATGATCTCCCCTTAATGGCTAGGCAGGTTTCACAGCGTCTGCCCATGCTGAGAATGAGGGTGTCAATGAGTTGTTGAGGCATTGCTGCCCACTCGTCTTGCAGCGCCAATCGAAGCTCCGGAATCGTTACTGGTGGTAAAGGTACGAGCTGCCAAGGGTCTGCCTAGAACATCCCATACATGCTCGATGGGATTGAGATCCGGAGATCGTGCCGGCCAATCTATACGTTTAATATCCTCACTCTCTAAGAGCTGTTCGGCAGCTACTGTGCGATGACATGGTGCATTGTCGTCTATGAAAAGGAACTGCGGACCCGTAGCGCCTCTAAAAAGATGCACATATGGAAGAAGAATCTCGTTACAATAACGGGTCCCGTTGACTGAACCTGCGTCGAAGATGTGAAGGTCTGTACGACTACCAAGCATGATGCCTCAACAAACGAGAACACCACCACATCCATACCTGTCCCTTTCAATGATGTTCGAGGGATGATTGCGGCTTCCCCGCTCTCTCCAGATGAGTATGCGATGAGAACCGCTACTCAGACTGAATCTGCTCTCATCTGTAAGGAGTACTCGTCCCCATTCATTGTCTCTCCAATTCCGGTGTTCCCGGCACCACAGAGAACGCCTTCTCCGATGGGCAGGCGTTAGAGGTACACACCGTACAGGGCGTCGTGCAAACAGCAAACAGACCACCACCGTGCAGTCTTCTGGCCACGGTAAAACGCGATATCGGTCGTCCAGTCGCCTGTGTCGTGTGTATAGCGATTTCTCCCGCTGTCTGCCGCCTGTTTCTTCTGGCCTGTAAGGTAATATATATATATCTACGGGTGTGGTTCCTCATGGACGACCACTACTAAACCCCCGGATAGCTGTTCCTGTAGTTTGAAATTGTCTCCAAAGTCATGAACATGTGTGAGCATTCGAACCTGCAGCCAACTGTCACACTGCGCCTCTCCACTTCCCAATTTCGACCTCGGGTAAAGCATCCAGATGTCGTCTAAAGATTAATATTCGCCATTCCGATGAAGCGGTGATTTAAATCTTACGGCGTGAATCTCTTGCAGAAATACTGATCTACACGACGACATCTTTATACATTCAACCTCCCCCATTACGTCAAGCATATTGCGATGTGTACCGTCATCACTACTTAATCTCTGATGTCTCTGTTGCTTGCCTCTTCGTTCGTGATATGCAATGGACTTCGTCCTTAATTTTTGCACACCAGTGTACTTTTAAAAGCATTTAAAAATAAATATGGCAATAAAAAACTGTATGACTTCACTAAATGTGAAATCCTCTGATAATGGTTCCTTTACTTAAAGAGAATAAAAAAAGGCTGTTCATAGTATTATAATAAATTGTATAATCTAAAATTCTAGAATTTGAAGTTTTATTGTATTAACATTCTTTGAATCTTTACTTACCAAAATTCCTCAATGCTTCCGAACCATGTTAATGGGCATAGAAAAACTGATAAAATTATTATCCAATATCCGTAATCCAAATAAAAGAAGTAACTCATCATCGACTGGGCTATCTGAGCAGACAGCAAAAGATAAACAATTGCAATTCCTATTAAAGTGATGTGTAAAATTGCAGTTACGGAATACCTAAAATAAAATTAAAGATTATTATGAAATGCTTTTGAAATAGCAACACAAGTAAAAAATGAAAGTTTCTTTCAGTTTTAAACAAATACTTATAGATTAAATTAATGCAAATTTGCGAGAACAGCAATTAAAAATATAAAAGTTGAAAATATACAAATCATTGTTACAAAATAATCTCTACATATAATAGAAGAAAGAGTATGTGCGTCTTTCGTTCGTGCTGTGCGTAAGCTAATAGACCCAGGGTTACGAAATTTGGTATATAGGTACTACATCTAGACAAGAGCCAGTGCATCTGGAAGCGAGTTTTTCAAAATTCGAAACAGATGCTTTTTTTATTTTATATTTTCGATTTTATTGCATTATTTTGAATAGTTTTATTCTTTTAGAAATGTGGTTTTGGCCAGAGTTTTTCATTCAATTGTATACTGGACTGCTGATTGT